GATATATACCTGCCTCTGGAGATTTCCATTACTTGCATCTGAAGAAGTGAGGTTCTGACCCACGAAAGCTTATGCTCCCAGTACTTCTGTTAGTCTCAAAGGTGCCACAGGACCCTCTGTTGCTTTTTACAGATTCAGACTAACACGGCTACCCCTCTGATACTCATTATCCAGTTAACTGTCCAATTCTGGTTGGATCCTGCCAAGCTCATGACCTCAGTATGCTGTAGCAATGACTTCTACAAACTTATTGTGCATTCTGTGAAAAAGTGTATCCTTTTGTCAGCTTTCAATTTGGTGCTTTTCCTTCTTATTTAATGTCTCCTTATTGTATGATGAGAGGACAAGGAGGAGTACTTGATTTCTGTAGCATTCATTATTCTCCAACCCATTATCATGGCCACTCTTAATTGTCTGCCCCAATCTTTTCATTCTCTCTAAATATTGAAGTTTTCTCCAGCTTTTCCTGTAATTATTTTTACTGGCCATTTCTGAACTGCCTCCTTTTTCTGCAATATTATATATATATATCACATAAATAATGTGCATTAGTCTTGAGTTTTGTTTAAAAAAGGAGGGGGGCAAGGTGAACTGATAGTGTCTTTAATCACCGGCACAACTAATTTCTCAGGGCTTTCTCAGGCAGAACTCATATGAGAAAAGATGTGGGGATTTGGCAGACCCTAGTTTGGGAGGGAAATTGATATTGACGGTTGCATTGTTAGTGGAGAGGACATGCTTTTTCCCTCCCAGAATTTTCTGATTCTATCCTCTTAGTTAAAGTGATCAGGACATTTTTCTCTAATTGCGGGAAATTTAAAATTAATTGGTTTATATTTATTGTAAGTGGGAATATATAGAATTATTGGATAAGGTAAAAAGGAAAGTTTTTCTCTCACTGCCCCTGCCAAAATATGCTATTACTAACCCTTGCTAGTATTATTATGAGTAACAATTTAGAATTGTCTGACAGGACAGTCCATCTGTCCATTCTCCCCCTTCCACTCCCCCTTCTTTATGTTGCATGTTCTCAGCTCTATTTAGGACTTAATCGTCCAGCTATTGCTGCCATGCAACTGATATACAAAACAGGAGCATAAAGGGAAACTCCACTCACCTGTGAATGGCGCTCTAAGCAGGCAGAGTACCCAGAGCAGAATGAGCCAGAGTTCAGGCCACCAAACCCTCTGCAAACACATCTTGGAGAAGGTTTATTTTATTCTCATGGAATTTTTTTCCTTTTCCCTCTGGATCTGCAGAAAGAGCTTTTCTTTCAATGAGACGACTTGAATGTGGCGCCTTTTTCTTGCATATGACTCATCTCATCTGATTGGCCACAGCTCAAAACGGCTCACATTCCACTGTGAGATTACCTGTCTGCATCCAATCGCATGCGCTCTCTTTCTTCCCACTCCTCATTTCCTATTTGCAGCTGCTGTACTTGTAGCTGACACCAGAGTGCCTGCTGGCACCAGCAAGCCAGTTGAATGGGAATGTCAATCATTAACCAACTGCCCCAGCCTTGGGCTTTCACTAGAGCAAATAGACTGTCCACAGAATAGGGTGCTCACTCCCCTTGAGAACTACTGTTTTATGCATACAACCCTTCACATACCCATGTGATCCCCTTCACTACTGCCCAACATCCCTCTGAGCACTATAGTCATATTTGTTTCACAGAAATGCCTGAGGAGGTAGGCCAGGTTGGAAATCCAGCTCTTCA